TGTACCAAGACTGTATTCCCCTTCTGCTTTTGCACACAACTTGCTCTTCTGACATTGTGCAATTCCATATTAATATGGACAATTCCATATTAATTCACAGACAACTCTGACCACTTTTCCTTTTGCTTTGTAGAAAGAATTGAGAAGCTCTGTAATCAGCAGAATTAATGAAATTTGGTGTCCTAGGGCTTTCCGTTCCCTTCCAAAGAATGGAAAGCCCTAGGTCCCAGTGGCAGGTATTGGGAAAACTTGAAATTGCTCTGCTTCTCATAGACTGGACAGGGATCAAGGGAAATGAGGAAATTCCTGCAGTGCTGCTAGGTTGGCAAGAGAACCTTAATACTAATATGAAGTTGGCTGAATAGTATAAACTCGAAGCAGAGTAAAGTTTTGATGTTTTGGTTGGTCCAAACTTAATGTTCATATTTCAAGTACAGTGCCATCTAAAAGTAGTCGCGACTAATGCTTTATCAAGATAGATACCTTACACAGGCATACAAGGTCTGAGCCTTGAAGCGGTTGCATCTGGTCTCATCTAAGTCACGCGTAACAATATGTAAAGGTTGAACCCTTGAATTAACCGTTCTTTTCCTTCTCTATTTTCAAGTTAGTTTGTGCTTTGTTTTTTTTCCTTTTTGACAGTTTGAATCCATTTTATTAATTTTGCAGCTATGCTGTCATACACTGCCTTTGAAAAGTGTTCCTCTTGTTCCATTACTTTCCCCTTAGCTATTTAAGAGTGTTTTCCGAGGAAGATCAACACCAGACCAGGTGCTTGGCCTGGATTTGGGAACTTTGGACATGCCCTGGTAAGGTGTCTGCAGCCACTAGATGGCACATTGCAAGAGCATCTGTACATCCTGAATAACTTCTACTATGATTAAAGGATAACTAATATTAAATGTTTCTTTAATAGGAGAAAATGCACAACATTGACCGTAGTGATTAAGTTCTATTAAACAGTTGTTATTTTGGACACCAGGTGATTAGTATATTCAAACCACTTCATTTCCAGACTTTGGCACCTTAGTCATTACTAACTCAAATCATAAAGTTCAGTGAATCAAGTTGTAAATAGTTTTATTGGTTCCGTGTTGGAAAAAAATTGAGGGTTGTGAAATTCCTTGATGATTTAGAGTTACATATTTCCTAAGTCCTTGTATTTTTATTTTCTGTTCTTTATTTGGTTATTCATCATTGCAGAAATTGTAAACTCTTGTTTCTGCCTTTGCAAACACTAAAACCAACATGCTAATTGAGAGCAAAGAGTTGTATTCCTAGAACAAATATGCCAAATGGAGAGAGTTGGAGTTTTGCACTAAGATGAACACTACTGCCAACATGCCATAGTTATCTGAGGGAGGAATTACCTCCAGGGACGAGAGTGGAACTGCTCTTACAGCTTCTGGAGAAAGGTCCATATTTACATACATGCTGATGACTATTGAATAAAACACAGGACCTTCATGTTTCTGTTGGTTTGTATTTTGTTGAAAATATTTTTCATCTTTTTGAGAATTATTTTATGTCCATTATATGACAAGGCTTCCTTCAGAGCAGTTTTGGTTTGGTTTTTTTTGTTTGTTTGTTTGTTTTTTTAAATGCAAGCTAAGGAATTAAATTGTGAAATCTACATGTATTTCAGGGTTTCAGTGCTATACACCAATGCTTCCTTAAAGTTCATTTTAATAGCTTTTAAGTGACTGGGAGCAAATTTTTGGTTTCTCCAAACCAACTTCAGGATTAGAAACACATGCCGGCTTTGGCTGTTTTGGCTTTAAAATTGTCATGTGTTCTCTTAAGCCTGTTTATGATTTCAGTGCTTGATGAAGTGACCCTTGCATCACTTACATGCCACTTTACAAATTTCTGTCAAGATGTTTATGATGAAGTGCCTTTCTCAAATGTAAGCTATTTTCATTGTTGTATTAGCCTGCTTAAAATTAATCTGGTTTTCTGGTGTGGTCATGTGCCGTAGAAATGTGTATGTTTACCAGGATAAGTCCTTCATATTGTCTTAGGTGTACATGTATGTGCCTGTAGAACCTGTGTGTGTGCGCGTGTGTGTGTGCGTGTGCCTGGACAAGGCAAGGCAAGACAGCACCATAACTCCAGGGAAAATGGAGGAGGTGACTGCGAGTCACCCACTTACTCACTGGCATATACTGTGGGAAACCTGTATTTTGTGGTTTTGTAGAGCACTTGCTTTTTAGAGAAGGCAGGCGAGAAGGCAGACATCCCCTTCTTGTTAATAAATTTATCACTTACAACTCTTATGTAAAACAAACTTAGTGTCAACTCTGAAATGAAGAGCTGCATTGGAAATCACACCTAACTACAACAGGTGCTGAGCTGGCAGTTTCACAGAAGATTGTGAAATTTGATCACACAATGGGAAATAGAGCCACTCCTTGAGGGCAATATCTGGAAACATAATGGGGAACCACCCTTCAAAGGTGATCTGTGTAATAATGGGGCTTAGAAACACTTTCTACCTGCTTTGCTTAGAAAATTATGAACATTTTTAATAGTGTTACTGGTTTTTGCACAAGCACACTATATTTAGCTGTACCTCAACTAGTTCTGCGCTCAGACACACCCAAGGCAATAAACTGCCCAGTGCGTACTTGCTACTACCATCACTTCAAGGTGGAAACTATTAATGAAATTTTCCGTTCTCTTTATGTCCTGGTAGTATTGTTAGCTTTTTTTCTCTGTCTACAGATTGCAGCTTTTCACCTGTCTTCTTCTGGAAGCTGGGCATTTGTATACCCCTTGAGTAATTTTCGCTGCAGCCATTTTCTGGTAAGTCTCTAACCTTTATATACTCATACATGCTAATGAACATGGAACACCCAGCATTATTCCATTGGCCCCATGACACTCTGTGCTACTTGATGTCTCTCTTCTTTCTTCTTGAGATTGCCATAAAGATTGCACCTGTGCTCCTACATGTACTTATGCACACCACAGCCTCTGAATAATGTAGACTAATAGAAAAGACTTCAAAGAATCATAACACAGTTTTAAAGAGCTGGAAGGAGAGGCTGATGGGAAATGTTATAAGAATTCAACATTTCCTGCTTAGCTAAGCAGTAATTTAGAAGGACATGTAAACTATGTGCAAGTATTTCAAAGAAAACAAAAAGCAAACAAAAGCTATGCACGCTGCCCTGATGCTGTAGACAAAGAGCAAAGAAGGGAGAGGTTTGCAGCAAATCATCTGCTTGAGTTAGTCGTTTTGGTAGGTACTCAGACACAGGGTGAGCAGGGTAATGAAAATATTTAGCCAGATTTGGATGTTATTTGATAGAGGTAAATGCAAAGGGAAAGAAGGTGAGTAGTTTAGCAGTGACCTGAGCAAGTCATTATGTGATTGAAATCAATTACCCAGGAGCTCATTAGCAAAAGAGAATAAATGTCCTTCCTTCTTGTGCTGTGGATATTCTATTGGATCCCTATCACATATCAAATCAAAACACTATCTTTCAAAGCCACTCAAGAGTTAATACCACACTGTTCTTTCTGGGACAGTGATTTTCCAGAGCAGCTGTGCTTGTCAGGCCAACGAAGCTATCAGTGCAAAGGGAATCAGTGATCAGCAGATACCAGAATTGTCTTGACAGTTGGAACTGGAAAGAAACTACTGCAGGTCAGTGAATTCTAATATTTTATAAATCAAATGTACACTGCACTTCGTTCTTGTCTCCTAATAATTAGGATAAAGAAAGAAAGAAGAAAGATTTTTGAAAAGTGTGATTCAAGTGGGATTTCAGAAATGCAATAGACTTTGTGCAAAACTTAGGCAGGCAACAACAGACCAAAGCATTTGGCGCAAAGTTCAGGGGCACGTATTGTATAATGGATCTGTCTGAACCCAACATCATTTATGGTACTAAGTGCTTGATTTGGCAAAGTGTCTTTGGATATTCCACTATCTTTGTCAGTTTGGTCATTAGCAGTCTATGAGCTATTGAAAGTCAGTTTCAGCAGAATAGGGATTAAATATTTAACTCTATTAGGGGTTTTTGAAAAGGAAGATCTTGGTTTTGAGAGTCCAAGAAAATTGGACTCTTAATAATAAAGTAATTAATACTTTAATGATAAGAGAAAATAAATTATGCTAACTTCTGTTAAGGAAGCACACAGACAAGCAGTTGATACATGGAAGACAGGGATATATAGTAGGAAAAATCTCCATAACGCAGTGGGTCCATAAAAAAAAAAAAAATCTTTAATTCAATCATATATATTTTAGGACACAGGGATTCTCCCCTTCTCAAGAGAATATTGCTATTCTTATCATGACTTTGCAGGCTGTAATCTTACATAAATAACAATGAGACAGATGTTCTAGGAAAAAATGGTCTTTTACATTCATAACAAGTGGACTGGAAATAAATATGTTTCAAAGTAATAGAACAGGCTGACAGTATGTGATTTGTATGTAATCATACAATACATGCCTTGCTGTGAATGTCCATAGAGTATGTAAGTCATGTACATTTTGAACATATACACAGAGGCCTGTATATTCATATACAAGTGAATATTCATATTAGTTGTGACAATATACAGATATATGCATGAAATCAGGTACGTAGAGTCTCTCTCCTTCCTTTTATATACACACCTCTCTCTTCTTTCTCACTGCAGATTTCAGACTTTACAGGTGGAGCTTGAAAAATGATGTAGCTAGCACTTGGGGGAAATCTACCCCTGCTGAGACAGAAAATCTAAAGATACCTGGAACAGTTAAAAAGCCAAAGGTTACCTTGTCTTACTGCTGGGGTAACAAAATTGCCTGCTAAAGAGCACTGTTAGGCAATTTTATTGCTGTTATCAGCTGAATGATTTTGCTTGTAGGTGGCTTGTTCTTTTCAACAGGTCTGTCTCTTAACCACTGCCTCGGCAGTCAAGTCATCAACTTGTGTAGATGATAGTCTTGCTTTCATTGCAGTTCTAACAGCAACAGTTGTTGGTTCCCTTGCCTGTCCATATTACGGGCATGTACCTGTCCTATTTGCCCAAGATGGGAAAGTTTGCAGTTGGAACAAAGATGAAGCCCAGGTGTTGATGGCTAGCGTTATCGTCAGAACTCCTAGAATGTTGAGTACAAACCCAGCTTTGGCCTAGAATTATGAGAGAGAAAGGTTATTAGTTGAACCGAGGACTTTTTTCCTTCCCTGTTGACTAGGATTGTTTGTATGGTTAGATTTTCTCTTTGGCCTTTTTTCACAACTCCATCAGAACTCCATCAAATCATATTTAAGCTGGTTTTCTTCACAAATATAATTTGTATTAGGGTAAAATGAGTTTCCATTGCATAAAACTCTTAAACTAGAAATCCTGAAATCCTTTAAATCCACTTATGTAGGACTTTCTCTTCTGACCTGGCATCTGTCTCTAATGTTGCTTTGGATTTCTTCCTGGCTCAATTATAAATTAGAAAAGTTATCAAGAGACATTGCATCCTTATCCGTCTTTCCTTAACATATTGAGAAGGGGCATCAGGGCAGCCTAGTGAGATGTGCTAGGCTTTCCCCTAGTCCTTGCAGAAGGACTGTCCAGATGATAGGACTCTTTGACATCTCTATGGGCTTTTGGAACAGCTAGACATTGCCATTTCTCATTGACAGCAAGCTCTTGTTGGAACATCTTCAAGAGGCCTTGGGTGTTTTTCGAAAGCTCAATAGCATCTTTATAAGGCTCTGTGTATATATTAGAGTCAGTGTGACCCTTTATTAATTCAGACATGTATGTTCTTCTTTCCATTTGACTTCAGCTGAGTACAGTGGTTCTCTAACACTCTTAAAAAAGGAAAGATCAAAACTAGTGATGAAAATTCTGAAAAGAATGTGCTTTTGCTCACCATATCTATAACCTTGAGTTGTCCATATGAGAAGACAATGGCGTTAGGAGGAGTGGCCACTGGGAGCATGAACGCCAACGATGCAGAAAGTGTACAGGGCAGCATGACATAGAGTGGATTGAGGCAGATCGCTTCAGCCTATGCAGGAAGGGAGAGCAAAGATGATGGTTTCAATATACAAAAAAGCATAGAAATCTTTTGGCAGAAGTCTGGTTGTATTTGTCCATGTCAGAAACCTCGTTCTTTCACAAACACTGCAGCCACTCATGTTTTGGTTCTGCTTCAGAAACTTCTAGCCATTGTCTTTATGCAGCAAATGCAAGAATTGATTTTGTGGTCAGTGCTTTGTGTTCCCGATTGTGGAATCCGATCACTGCTGCAGTATAAATTAATAATAATGGTTGTATTCAACTCTAAAACCAGGAAAAAATGTAGAGTGACTTCTAACTGGTTAAGAACAAAATTAAATTGTCAGGGGAAACAGTGTAGCCCAAACTCTGAAGGTGAGTGGATCAGTGTAGGGGTTAGCTGAAGTCTGTGCAAAAAGATTTTGATGGAGCGTATTCCAGTTTCTATCTGGAACCAGCTTTTCACACTGCAGAACTATGTCTACCCCAGCAACAGGAATCTCCTGTGGAAATGCAAAAGTCTGAATTAGGTCATAGAGCTTGACTAATGCTATCACCTTCAGAGACTTCTTGAAGGCTAGTGGTCGGAGTGAAATACAGAAATGGAATGTTGCAGGGAAGCAAATGCTGCTGCTGTTGCTGTCTCTATGCAGAACAAATAGGAAAAAACAAGTACAGCTGGCAGTGACCTCACGAGGTTGTTTAGGCCAGAAGGCAAAGTCTAATATGCCAATGAATTTAATCCCTTTACTGTTCACCAGCAATGGTTTTAGAAAGGTTGAATTAAGCACAGTGTGTGTGAATATATATGCATGCACATACATATATGTATATTTTAATTCTTGTATTCCTGATTGGATGCACGAACCAGTGCTTGGCTATGTCAGCCAGTCAGTTTTTATAATTATGCAGATGTATGCTTGGAGAAGAGTTGAAAGCTGTTCTTACAAAAGTATTTTGAAACGCTGGAGCTTACCATTGAAGCCAGAATAGGGAGAAAGAGGGTAGTGGTGGCCACATTGCTGGTGCACTCGGTGAAAGTGGCAATAAGGAGACACAACAGGAAAGCAATAGCTGGATGAGGGATTTGCTGCAGAGGAGTCAGTTTGGTACCTAACCATGAAGACAGACCAGATTCCTGTAACAGAGGAAAGAGGTCTGTCAAGATAGTAGGCTGGAGAAGAAATAGCCACATCACAGTCCAGTTATATTTCTCATACCAGTTCTACCTTCCCTTCTTGTAGGAGAACTCATACAAACTTTCTGTAGAAAAACACGTAAGAGGCAATGCTCATAGACATGATAATTCCGTAGGTTAAATAAAAACAATGTGCTTTCCCTTCCAAAGAATTTGAAAGAAGAAGACACTACGTTTACAGTACGTTATTGATAGCAAATAATTATTTCTCTGTTCAGGCCATCAGTTGTACATGATCAATATTCGGGGCTTTTTTTTTAATCTAAACAAAGATCTTTGGACTCACTTTCTAAAATACTTTCGTATCTTTTAGCAGATATTCTAGCAATTTAATGTAATTTCATCACTGTCTGAGATCTTGATCAACTATCTGAAGCTTTTCATACCTTTCATCCTTCTCAGTCACTGAAAAATACCAGCATCTTCCCTATCATTCTGGGCTGTAGTTTGGGCGTCATTATTATTCAGCTGTTCTTCTCAAGAGAACATATCCTAACTGTGCCTGTCTTGCTCCTTCATGCATTATGGCCTAGATTTCTTGCTGGTTTTGCAACCAGAATTCTTCTTCATGTCCTCTCTATTTCATATCTTTGCTACTTCAACCTGTCTCTTCTGACATTGAAAAGTGCTATCTCACAGGAGGGCTGGAATCTATCTTAAAAGGACTAGTCTAATTCCCTGTCCTAGGGCAGGATCGGCTCTACCTAAATTATTACTGAGAGATGTTTTTCAAACTTGTTGTTAAAAATCCCTAGCAATGAAGTTTCCAAAATCTCCCCACATAATTTTTTCAAGTGCTTAACTATCTTTACAGTTGGAACATTTTCCTACTGCTTAACCTAAATCTCCCTTGCTGCAATTTAAGCCCTTTAGCACCATCAGAATATAAAAAAGTATATACTATCTTCCCTTCTGCTGCAGCTTTTATGTATTTGATGACTTAATCTAGAATAAATTAATGTAATTTCTTGAATCTTTCCTTTTCCAAACATGTTTCCCAGAGATCCGATCATTCTTACTACCTTCCTCTAAACTTTCTTCATATAGCCCACGTGTAGTTGAAGACTGATATCCAAAACTGAATACATTAGTGTATCTGAGGACTTACCAGTCCCGAGTAGAAGGATTGTATTTTACATGTCTTATGTACGATGGTCCTACCTATAGTTTCCAGTTGTTTGCTTTTTTCTCAGTAGCAATATAAAAGTATTGACTAGAATAAGGTGTATGAATAGCTTTAAAACTTAACAAGTCATTTCCACATCTTGCATTTGTCATACTTGGTTATTTCTTCCTATTTCCCATATTGAGTTGCATCCTTGTTTTCTAGAAACACTTTTGCAGGTCGTTGTGATCTTTGAATTCTAAACTAGTATTTCCAGGCACTTGAAGCCTTTTCCAATTTGTTTATTGTCTATAGATTTAATAAATATATTGTCTGTTCCATCATCAAAGTCATTACTGAAAAATAATTTGTAGCACTGGACTCATGGCAGATGCCTGCAGAAGTATATCAGTACATCCTTCAGTTTGACAGCCAGACGTTTTTATCTGCTCCTGAAGGTTCTCTAGGTAGCTCTACATTTGTCTTCTAGTAGTTTAATTTAAATCATATTTCCATTAGTAGTTTGTTTGAAATAGTTTGTAGCCCCATCCTGGGCACATTATCTCCTCATGCTTGCCACATCAATTAAATTTTATTTAATAGAACCTTTAATATATTGGGGTAGTTTCTTAATCATCCACTTTTCTAGAAACACAGTTAATCATGCTGCATTGATGGGTAGTACCATCCCAGTTGCACAGGCAACAATAAAGATTTGTTGTAATCACAGGATTCCTCCTAAGGATGGTGAAGTCTGTCCTACCGCCACTAGCTGAGGAAATGTGCGTCTGGTGTTACCAGCATGCCCTCTTGCGTTCTGGGAGAGCACGCATGAAAAGCAAGATGGAAAACACCCAGGAAGACACAAATACCAGGTAAGCAGAGGAATGTTACCTCACTGCCTTTGGCTAAGGCAAAGCCACCTCCCAGCAGCAACACGATGTTCCATGGCATTTTCTGGTGAACTACTTTCCAGTCCAAGAGAGCTGGAGGTGCTTGGATCTTTGCCTTGCTGCCTAAAATCCAAAAAGATTTTGTAAGCCATGTTACATTCTCCAAAGAAAGGAGGACTTCTTGGTAGAAGGTGAGTTTAGTCTGAACATCAGGAAACACTTCTGTCACCAAATCAAGTAGACTGTGGAATTATCTCCTAAAGCAAATGATGGGAGCCTCATCAACAAAGATTTTAAAACTTGACTTGCAAAAGTACTAATGTGTGGTCTGTAGCTGCTCCAAGAGGCATGGTAGAATAAAGGTAAGAGTGAGTTAAAAGCATGGCAACATATCTGCAGAACTGTATGTATTTCTGTTAAGTCATGTATTGTCTCCTGAAGACTCCAGCTTCAGAAGCTTTTACGTATGTGTACACCAGTGCCTGGGACTCTGCTGGGGTAAGAGTTTCCTACTTAGTTAAATTAGAAGAAACAGAGAACTTTTATGGGATATATGCCTTGCATAGCCTAAAGCATACAGCTGTAGCTATGCAGGAAGAGCAGTTTGAAATCTTGTTTAATGTTTGAAATTTCCTTTGTAAATCTAAAATGTAAAACTTGCCGTGTACCTATTCTGACAGTTGATTTTTGATGCCTTCAGTAAACTTACCTGTTTGTTGTTTGTCTCTGTTGTTGCTAGAAATGTCAGAAGGGATGATGAACAACAAAACTGAAATGAAGATAGCAACTGTGGCATCAGTGACATAGCTGCAATAGATCAGTCAGAAATTTAGTCTAGCTGTGTTTTCATCTTTATGAAATCTAGCTTACTTCATTTTTATTCAAAATGAGGAGGAAAAGTGGTGATACCTTGTATCACTTTTGTTGAAAAGAACTGTTGCCCAACCTGGTATGAAACCAGGGTCTCTTGTAAACCACAGCAGTACCAGTAGTATAAAGAGGATCAAAACTGCGATTTCTGCAAATTTCATTGAGCCCAATTTCTTGCTCTCTTCCTTGATAATGTCATAGGCCTGTTGCTCCTTAGCCTTTGCAGAGGCATTTGCAGCACAACCAAAATTCTTCTGAAAACTGGAAAAAAATAGACAAGAAATATCAGAGAAATTTGCCAGATATCCTCAGAGTTAAGAATCCAAATTTTACACTCAGTCATATTGTCTTTTAGATATATGCATTTATATATGCATATAGAAATTATATATATATTATTATCATAGCATCAGCAGCCATAGGTGTTGGATAGTAACTGCATGGTACTGTGTACTGCCAAGATGATCAGAAAGAAGCTTCCTACCACTAAAAGTTCATGATATAAATATAAACAGGCATGCTATCTGGACACATGGGGAAATAATGTCAATGTCAGCGTGATTGACAAGGCTATATGATCATCAGGAAGTAAACTGTTGTCAAGTTTTTTAAAATTACAGAAAAGGAAAATTTTAAAAGAGGAATTTGAAGATGAAAGTACCATTGTAGGTATTACAGAGCTCTTTCCTTCTTTAAAAGAAAGGAGGTTGGAGATAATACAAAAGTGATAGGCTAAGTATTAAACAGGTAGGTAACGCAAGCCAGTTTATGGGGTGATTAGCACTGGGAAATGGCACAATACTAATCCTCTAGGTCTGTAGCAACATTCGTCACAAAGGTATTTACCAGCTATATGTAGAAATCAGTTTCCTGGTTTGAAGCACAACAATCTTTCAGGACATGAAAGCAATGCTGCAGAACAGGTTATATGCAGCTATAACTTCCTATTTTCATCTACAGAGTATATTTAGCTGGGATTTGATCAGGTTCCTCGGAGAAAAAGCTGCAGTATTTTAACAGATACTTAGTATGCTCTTCTGCTAGTCTTTGTTGTATGTGAGGACTTTGCCACTTGCTGTCTGACTTTCAAGCATAGGCTCATCAATAAAAGTATCACTTGTGTTATAACATGTAGTGAGTACTTGCTAACAGGCCTGTCAGCTGTATTACAGTGTGTAAAGGGTACTTACTTAAAGCCCAAGTACAGTATCTGAAGCCAAATCCACGTCAAAACCAGTAACACAATCATGGTGGGAAAGGCAAAGGAGAACCAAGAGGCAAAGTTGATGATATTGCCATTGTCAGGAAAGAGCCTGTAAAATGTAGATGGCTGTTAGCACCCAAAATTCTGCACTCTCTGCTGTATTTCGTTAATGATTCGGAAACGAGGAGGTACTGTGAGAAACTAATTTCCCGACAAAGTTACCAAATTGGTATTTTCCTTCTCTGTGTTGGCTGGAAGTCAGCTATAGCAGAGTGATGCAGTTTAGTGGATATGTAATCCCAAATTCAACCAGACTTACTCATCAACTTGTCCTTGCAGTACCAGATTTGGTGTTGTCCCAGTCAGAGTTGCAATCCCTCCAATACTGGCTGAGTAACAAATACAGAGAGACATTCCCTTGCAGAATTTCTTGTGTTTCTCCTCTAGCAGATTTTCATTTCTCTTTCTGTCTTCCTCGACTGTCAGGACATGACTATTACCTAGGTCCCAAGACAGGAACAAAAGAGTTACAGAAGCTAGATTGGATAGGAAAAGATCTTGTGCCTGCGTCATTCCGTATTTCAAGGCTAGGATAAAATGGACTCAAAGCTGAAGGAGCCAGATTTCCTCATTTTAAGGCTGGCATTGTTGATTCTTTGGTCTTCTGTCCATTTTCACTGGTTGTCTTGATACAAAGGAGTTTTTCAGAGGAATAGAATTGAAATGTGTGATAAAGTCCGAACATACTGCTGACACTTCTCGGTGAACTAAGGCAATGTCTGAACTGCACACGGTGGGGAGAGAGGCAAGAATTCAGGCAGGTACAACAGAGTCAGAGGAGTTGGACTGAAGGGAATTGGTTCTGTACCAGCACCCGACTACTGGCATTGGGATTTACATTCAGAAACACTTGAGTTGTCTCAAAGATGGGAAGAGGGCAAGACAGCTGGTAAAGAGATATTGTTACATGATTGTGTATCTTTGGATTAGAACGATCATTTTAATCCCTAACCTTCTGGCTTGAAATAGGCCAGAAATTTTCCCTTGGAAATTCCTTATTATCTGATAAATTGCACAGTAGATAATAATTGAACTAACATAAATACATAGGGAAATATCAAGCCTAATGTAAAGGCTTCAGCTAATGGAGAATTTATACATTTTGTTGTTTTATTGATTAGTTAACATCGCTTCATATTTTCAATCTATTTCTAACTTCAGCCAGTCAGTAGATCTTACTGTGCTTTTGTCTGGTTCATGGAAAAGCCTCATAAATGCCGTCTGATACAGTCAGGATGCTTTAGGTACATTCTTCTTTTAGAATTTACTAGCAACTGTAATGACAGTGAAGAAGGCATCAGGTCATCCTCCATTATCCCAAAGAGAAAAGCACCCATAACCCACTCACCTTTTTCCGCTGTTTCTTTGGAGCTACCTGGTTTAGTTGACTCTTCCTGCAGTTCGAAGGCTTTATTGATGTTTTCAGATGCTTGGCCAACTGTGCTACACTCCATTTCGGACTTGTGCAACTGTTCCAACACTGCTTGTGCTATTGGAACCATCATGGCAGTGGTGGCAGTGTTGCTGATCCACATTGACAGGAAGGCGGTCACAATCATGAAACCCATGAGAAGTCTGAAATGAGAAGGTTTGAAAAAGCCAGTTCAGAACTCAGCGCTGCAATTCCCTTTATCTTACAAAGCTTTGGTTACAAATGCCGGGTTTGGAAAATGCTTAGCAATTCACATTTAGCACTTCCTCTTACCTTAGTCTGCTTTGTGAATGGTACAGTAAGATTTAACATAAATTTTTCTTTTTGCAATTTCAGCCAATTTTGCTTTTACATTCTTATGGCTAGGAAAGTGGGAGCTGGTATCTTGGAGCAAACAGTTTATCTAGTCAGTATCCTGCTTATTCTGCATGCTTCAGAGGAAGACATATAATCTCAATAACACATATTAATGTATTATGATATATTTTGAAGAGGAATCGCAAACTGAATTTGATCCCAAATGGCAATCAGTTTAAGCCATAAGGAAGATGATCTCTTTTTTTGTAATTTTATCCCACCTCTGTCATTTAAGATTCTCTTCTTACTCATCTGAAACTCTAATCCTTGTTTTAGTATTACTATGTTATTTGTCTCAAAATTATTCTTTAGATGAGATGTAGATTATATTAGATGAAAAGGGCTTTATCTTGTATGCATTTTTATTCTATTGCTTTGTAATTTCCTCCAGTATTCCCTCTTCTCATGATCTGACACAAATTAAATAGGGCCATGTAGCCTCGGCATAGCTTAAAGTTCTAGTCTGGTAAACATTTGTTGTTTTCAAAACAAGCATCCTCATATTTTCTCTTCTCTTTGCAATCAGTATAACAGTTAGGGAGTATATGTTTTCTATGTTTTAGCTGTAGTCTTTCCTGCTTGTCTAAAGCTGTGCTTCTGGCCAAGCCTAGCAGCAGCCTTATCTTTTCAGAATTGACTCTCTTGTTGCTATTTCTCCACCTAAAGCCATTTGGAATTCAAAAAAGAGGCACCAGGCCTGTAACACATCAAAGGATCCCCATTTGCAAGGTTTGCTCAGGCACTAACTCACTTGGACTGTAGAAAAGCATTTGTAGGATATGATTTGCAGGTTCACATAGGAGACTACAGGCAACCCTGAGGTAGGAACTAACGCCATAAAGTCCTTTATCCCACAAAGTTTTCACGACTGTTACTCACAGGGCTGGTCTGACACCAGTGATAAGCAAGACCCGCAGAGCAACGCGCTTGTGTAGGTGCCAATTCTCAATAGCAATGGCCATCAGCAGTCCGCCAATAAAAAGCATATTGGTGTCCTTCAGATATTCCCTGCAGACCTGTAACATGGAACCAGGGAGAGAAAACAGTGACAAGAAGCCAATGTTTAGAGAGAAGGCACTTTCTGAGGGAGGATCTTGTCCCAAAGACATTCGGACACAGTAACTATGTATTGCACCTAAATTCGATTCAGATTAGCAGCTGATTCGATTTCAGATTAGCAGCTCCACCCAGAGTTCACTCTAGGCTTATGCAAGTTCTGTTCCCTGGAGAGGACAAGCAATTCCCTGTGTAACAATAGTGCAATTTTCTCTTTCTTGCACCACGCTCTGGAAATCACCCTGGAAATAATCCCAGAGTAAAAGAAGCTGACCAATAAATACATAGGCAAACATGTATAGAGTAAGATCTCTTACTGTTGTTGAATCCATGATATTCATTAGTGGGAACAGCAGGACAGGCAAGAGGGCTGTGACAGCCAACGGCAAGGCTTCCGTGCACCAAAACAGTGCCATCACTATGATAACGTAACCACATTGGGCCTCCTGACAGAAGAAGAGTACATGTAATCAGAACAGACTGTACATCCCACTTAGGCTTTGAGAAGGCAACAGCCCATAATTATATTCATTGCCTGATAAAGGGATTTGGGAAAAGGTTATTTTTTATCTTTCTCTCCTGTCTATCCTCCTACCTATGCAGATCCTAATCAAATGACAAACTATTCAACAACCTTGTAAGAACTGTGAGGAAAAGATTGGGGCCTCCAATGGGGAAAACCAAGAAACTTAGGAAAAGAAACAAATCGATGACTTTGAACCCTTCATCATAAGGAATTGGCAGTCCCTGCACAGACTTCTTGATTTTGCTGATGGTGGTATTTTCTTTTTATATATTTCTGTCTTTGAGTTGCAGAAATAGTTACTGATCCAGTCAAGGTTTCTCCACCTTTTTCTCCGCATGTTTCAGGTCATGGCCCAGATGAACCCCAACTAATTTCAATAGCCTGGATTCCTTGTACTGTAAATACTTTTATCTATTTTTTCTTTGGATTTTTAGCTTAGTACAGACTTTGAAAGGCTCACTGACAAACTGGTCACAGATCAGTTTCAGCTTCCGCTGGCTTTGACTTGTTTCTTTGAGTATGATCCCCTATTTCATGTTACTCTTTTTCTGAGAAAGCATTGATTTAGTTCTGCTTTGGACAACCACTCCAAATTTTATGTAAAAATATTTAACTCAGTCCCATACACTAAAAAGATTCAAAATAACATGTCACAACAAATTTTCGTATGTCTGGGCTGATGAAGAAAGCAAGGAAAAGTAACATTGCATGTTAGTGTCTTCCTCATTTTGGAACTAGCACAATAATGGATGCCAGCAAATCGAAAGGAAGAAAAAAGTGGTTGTGTGGTCTTGGATCAAGGATGTCCACTAAAATATACTGGACAGTATGAATGAAAATGTAGTGATGCTTATTGAGAAAACAATGAAGAGATGGAAATTGTAATGGCTGGATTACAGAGAAGTAAACCAAGGAGCTGGAATAGTGGCTGGCAGGATCAAACTTGTGATGCTTTAGAACATGCTCAGGACTTCTGAACATGGCATGGAAGTTACAGAGCTGGTGAAGGGAAGGGATGAACAGGGGATCTGAATAGTCTGGAGAAAAGACAATAGCAATTTAGGTGGTAAATTAGCAAAGCAGCAGGGTTGCAGAAGTAAAGCTGAAAGAAATTCATGAAGAGATGAAAAGATGCCTTTTTGAGCCTTATTTTTGAATGAGAGCAGCAAGAACCTTAATTATACATCCCATCAAGCACTGAAAGCAATTTTCCATTTTGATGATCCTTTTTTCCCCATTTTTGTTATTAAGAGATGCCAGTGGGTGCCTTTTGAGAGACCCTAGCAGGGTTTTGGAACATGTATCATAGGCACGGTGTTATTCCCTTCCAGCCTGCTGTGAACAGGCTCACAGTAAAAGCTGGAATAAGGCTTTTCATGAAGTCAGTTGTCCTGTAAGGACATCCCTCTGTCTTTAGATAAAATCTTTAGCATCGTCTGCTCTCATTTGTAATAGTTTAGTGTCCAGTGCTATGTCATTAATAGCTCAACAGAATAGAAAAATGTGAAATTCCATCCTATAAGTTGTCTGCTTACAACTCTGCAGCTGAGGAACCAGCTTTTCCTGCTTAGCAGTACCACGATGCACAATTCTAACACAAGAAATCTTCTTACAGATTGTAAAGGGAAAAGTCCAGGACCTTTTAAATTTTTGTGTTGTAGCTGACTACATAGAAACCAGAGAGAGTCATTTTCCAAGAGGAACTGAACCAAGACTGCCAAATCATTCCATAGGCAATACCAGGGAGTTATTGTATGGTAACAATCACTCTAGCAAGTAAGTTTGAACTCGTGGCCTCAGGACAAAAAAAAAAAAAATCTCTCTGGCTACTTAGAACTTTTCTGATCCAGATCTCTCTTAACTTCAGTAACTCTCTTGCATATGGAAAGTTAACTAGCAAAAAAGTACTTTTTCTGTTTTTCTTCTTAGTAAGCTTTTAAGTGATAGTTTAAGCTATTTTATTTGCATAGCAAGGGGATAGGAGACACGCCTGATCAGTTACCACATTTCACCTCAAGCCAATGCCACTCTATCATTCTTGCTTGCAATCCTCTGGTCATAGCTCCAAAGTCCCTGATAACACTCAGAAAAAGAGCTGTGAGGAAGAAGGAACTTTGGGACAGGCTGCACAAAAAGACAGGGAAGAGCTAGTGGAGTGAAGAGGGAAGCTTGGCGAAGGAGACTGGAAACTGGGAGTCAGCAGGGATTGAGAGACAGGCAGGCAGGTAGAGACCAGAGAAAAGAGCTAGGACTTGACATCCAAAGAGCAGTGACAGGAGAGGTAGATTGGGGCTAGCTATTTAATGATACTGGGACTGTAGTAAGAGACCTGAAGACCAGAGATTAGATCTGTCTGCATGAAGAGATTGGGAGTGGCAGGAATAAGCCTGAGTGAAGAAGCAGCAGAACACTGGCAGTCTGCCTGCTCACAGTTCTGTATTTAAATGATCGATGTCTCAGAAATACCTGTCCCACTACTACAGTTTTTTGTAGTTAACTATTTCTGAAGGAATCCTAAGCAAGGTGTCTTCCAGAACTTGACATTTTAAATTTTAAATCATTATTTGGAAAGATTCTCACAGATATATGCTAAAAAAAAGAGTGAAATACATAGTATTTTGTCCTTATGTATCAGAATTCCTTGTCTATCCGACCAAGAAAAATGCCTCTTCTATTGGCAACGACAACAAGGAAAAAACTAAAAGAGGATGTGGGCTGGATACTTTTGGAAAATCAGAAGGGGGATTAAAATTGAGCTTTAGATTGTAATTTAGGTTCACGCGTATGAGCTTCAGCATAGAAAGCCCTTTGCTAAATCAGTTAGATGCAGAGCAAAAGTTACAAAATTGCATGTCACTGAGCATTCCTCTAGAATATGCAATCGCAGATGTATCTGTTCATCCATCTGTGTCCTATTGCTTTTATATTCCCCCACTATCAGTAGTCAAAGAGGTCTGCTCAGAAAAAAAAAGATCTTCAAGCAATAAATGAAGGAAGTGCCTCTGAGAAAGAATCTGTATGTTCTCTTCAGCTCCGTCACTTAAAAGGAACAACTCTAAGGAAAGATTTTGAGATTTGGCTCTCAAATTCAGTTTAAAAAGTTCTTACCTTGGTAGGAACAGCCAGAGGCAGAGGAAGAAACAAAAGGGGTATAAACACTATGATCAGGTATTTCCTGAAGGCTAGGGTCATCTGCAGGAAGCCAGCCATGGTGCTGGAGCTAGCCCAGTGCTGAAAGGCCTGAGCTCTGCTGCTGGAGACTATATAAACACTCGGGAATATTAACCATTGACCTCCAGAGGCTGGATGTTGTTTTTGGAACTGTAATCGGAGAAAGAAGGAAGAGAACAAAGAAGGGAGGGGACAGCAAAAAGTGTCAGACCAGGAACTTTCTTAAGATGATCTTCCTGATAACTGGTAAATCCAGGAGAGAATTAACTCCTTGTGGACCAAGTAGATTTATTATGAGCATCCTGAAATGACCTACGCTTTGTTTAAAGAATATTAATGTTTTGGTCTTTAATAATTGCCTTCTTTGAATAGGTACTGGTATTCCTCCCATAAAAAAGAGAAAACGACTCCCTCCATAATAGGTTGAAAATGGTTTTAAAAATATGTAGAGTACTGAAAAACACATCTGCATCTGTAATACTCAAATACAGAGATTAGAAACATCTACACAAAACATTATATAAACATCATTGTATCCGCTGAGAAATTCTTTGGGTAGCAAAATCCACTAGAGCAGAGCTTCTGTCACCGGGTGCCACATCAAGTCCCCATGCAGAAAGGGACTTACAGTCCTTATCACCTGAGAGCAGAGACATCTATATGCAGTCCAAGGATGACCCTCATGACAATTCCGTTTTCTTCTACTCAAAGAGCAATGGGGGAAATGTTAAGGTCTGGTCAGAACTCAGTTACTTCCACATGGCAGCCCAATATGTTATAAGAAAAGCTTAGGGCCCAAGAGAGAACCTAGTAACTCTTTCTGACACAGCCTGTTATCGCTCAGTGCATCACTTTGCTGACATTGGGTTATTTTTTTTTCACCTTTCTGATCTTGCAGGTTTATAAGCACAGCTTTGGTAGCTTGCAGGGTGTATTGGGGGGGGCGGGGGGAAAGTGCTACTGGGAAATTACCAGCAATTCTCATTCCAGTTGCAAGAAACTTCCAAAGTACAAGCAGTGAATTACTTGGTTCTGTAAATACACCAGAACAGAATTCAAGTTTTTAATTCCAAAGGGAGTGTCTTGTTAATGTGACTTTGATATCTTTATTTGGTAGATCATGCAAGCGCATACTTCAGATAATGATGATAACATTTCCATTTTATTTGTGTAAATTGTCACAGGTCTGTTTATAGTTTACTCAAGCAGAGAGAGAGAGAGAGAGAGAAGTACAGACATTACATCATCTGATGTCAGTTCCACAAAGAGCTTCTGCTGTTTCTCTCTCTCATCCCTTTTCTGCCGGGGCTTTTTTTCTTTCGATAACGTGCTTATGATTGAAAATCAGTGGGGTTTCAGTTGTCAGAGCTGCAAACTCACAGCTCTCTTGCAAGCCTTATTCTAGGCATATTGCTCACAAGAAGCAGCTTTAATATTAAATAACTGCCAATCCTGAGCTTTAGCATTTCACCCTTGGTAAAAAAAGAGTGAGAAAGAGCTTTCAAATGAATTATATTCCCCCCCAATTTTGCATCCACTTAATATTGAATTAGTGTCTGAAAAGGTGCAGTGACAAAATCAGGCAATGACAAAGTAATTTTTCTCCTTTCTACTCTTACGTCCTAAGGTTGCAATCAAAATCTAAAAGTAAACCTCTCGTTTTCACATCTCTGTAACACGAAGGTTGGCCTCCAGCTGCAGTCTTGCCTATGGGATGGATGTAACAAAGCAGAAGGACCTCAGCTAGCGAATCGTGCCTGTTCTTCAGAAGCAGCACATCCGCAGCGATTGTTTCCACAGCTACGTGAGTCCTGATATTTTCAAAGATGCTATAAATGAGCTCTGTAAGTGTGTTACTGCAAAATGAATGGTTTATGTCTTCAGGGGGACTTGTTAGAGCTTTACCTGTAGCCCCTTAACACTCCCTTAACGGTGTTAAAGGAGTGATGCCAATTTACATTAATTTGGAACTACTCCAGTTTATATAAACGCGTTAATCTAATACTCTGAACTGTGTTCTTTGAATTTAAAGAACTACTTGGTCTTTGCTTACTGATCTGCTCTTCAAGGCAGACCAAACCTACTGCACAGCCAAAACCTCTTCTGTGTTACAGTTTGTAAGTTATTTTGTCCTTTAGAAAAAGAAGTATTTTCTAATGTGCTGTAAATTAATAAACATTGCTAACTACAACATCTTTTCAGATCCTAGTGCATTTAGAATGTTGATTATAACTCTTCCTTTGTTCGGAGATAAAAAATCAGATTTTAAGCTTAAATTTCTTTAATCATCAATAAATAACACAACCAGGGTTGCAAGCCACACGTTTAGCAGGGATGCAAGAGCAAGCCCTGTCGCCTGGTCTCGTACGCAATGCAACGCAAGGGCAGAGCGGATCCCCTCCC